GTCTTACCAGGTCGTCACTCCATCTAGTGGGGGGCCGCCCTACACTTCACCTACCGGTACGAGGATGACACTGGAGAACCTTTTTTCTCCAACGGTTATCGGTTCTTCGAGCTATATGGCCGGCCCATTGCCACTTCAGCTTACTAATCCGTTAGTGAAAACAAACCGCCCACCAACAGAAACAAGAAATCCTGGGTTATGTCGGTCACCCTGGTTCTACTGCGGATATCCTCATTTCTAAGTTTATCACGAAGAGAAACTCCGAGCATAGCCCTCTCCATAGCACATTAAGTATGAATACGTTTAAAAACAGCATGGTAGCGATCATCTGATTTACATTCTCTGCCACATTACGCTCCATGCGCTGCTCCTCGCCCTGCATGTTGCCTCGCCTGGCCACACAATGCTCTACTCGCGCAATTAATCGCGACGCTTCCCGCTAGATCGCTCGCGTTAGCGACATAATTAATGTTGAAACTGTTGCAGCGTACGAGTTATTCATATAAGCAAAAGGTAAACGACGTGGTGCGATGGGCCCATTGGAGACGAGTATTGTCGCTACACTATATCTCTGCCTTCTTTCCTCGCTACTTCCCATGATACTCGACGAGTGTATGGCCGGGGCGTTAAGCGATCATTTTATATTTTAACTTAAATAACAAAATAGGAAATAATTGCTTCTTTTCTAGATCTCAATTTCCGCCATTTGGAAAATTGCCTAAATAAAATAAATTTTGTTCTCAAGCGTTACAAAATGTCTTCATAGACATTGTAGAGTTGCCCAGGAGTTTTATCGGGAAGGCATAAACGATTTTCCCTTAATGAAGAAATGTGTCGATAATGAAGTTAAATACTTCAATCAAATAAATATTTTATATTTTCTTATAGAAATAGCGTTCAATTTTTTAATATAAAATAGATATTTTATACTTTGACGCCTAATATATAAAATTTTGTTAAAGTATATAATATTTTATACAAGAAACGGCAAGCCTTTGATATGTGAAATTTACTGGAATATTTTTATTTCAATGATGATTTTAATTATATCCGAGTACCCAAATTAAAAAATTAAAAAATGCGAATCGTCTTGTACTGTGATCATCACACCACCTGCAAGCATGATAATTAATGCAAAAACAAAGGAAAAGACTCATCCAGCAGTAGACGTTTACTGGCTGATGTTAAAAAAGATATGAATTTATTTAAAATAATACTTCACTTCAACATTCTTCTTTACATGTTACTAACTAAAGAAATCACAATACTAACTAAAGAAAGTAGTCCTGATGACAGACAAATATGGCTTAATATTCGTTCGAAATGTCGATCAAAGAGCCATGGAAAGCAAATTATTAAGGACTCCATTGTGTTAATACGTCTACAACGAAGACCTATGTTCAGCAGCAAATGAACTGCATTATGATGATGCTGATTCCATTATGGTAAAAACAGGCCGGTAGTATGTTAGATAAGATATATTTTCACACAATCCAACTAACATTAAGCAGCGACACCCGTAACTAACTTTAAACAAAAGGCTACATATGGTTGTCATTTTCAAGACTAAGATGAACTTTTAGCCTGTAATCATAATGGCTCGTCTGTTTGTAATCTGTAACAAAGCAGAATTACTAAACACAAAATTTATTATATTAATAATGTCATCCAGACCGAAATCCGGCCACGGCGGCCTGCTTTAGCGGAGGCTAGCCATTGGCACCGGACAAGATTATAGTGCCCAAATTTATACGCAAACAAAAGTGCACTCTCTATTCCCTCACTCTCATAATCCGATGGGACAGTAAACCGACACGACCGGAGAGAGATCAGGCGGAGGACCAACGGCTTTACGTGCTTTCCGAGGCACGGTGGTGAAAGACCGCCAACTTCCTGACTATGGTCAACTACTGAGAATTTCTTGACGGAAAAGGTCAATAATTAATTTTTTGGCACGACCCGGGATTCGAACCCAGGACCTCATGATCAGCAGTCGCACTACTACAACCACTAGACCAACAAGACAGTCAAATTATTTATAATAGTATATAATAAAAAATACAAGTCTCATTTCAACGACAAATTTTCAATTTCCTCAAACAATTTACCTTGTGAAATAAGTTCCAAAGGATATAAATTTAAAAAGTACGGAGTGGAAATTGTTTTCGCAGGTATTTTAAAGTTGTAGTGATTGAACTTCTAGTCTTCTTCTTCGACTTCGAATGTTAGCAAGGAAACATTAAAACAACACTATCCAACTTATCAAAAATAAATATAACATTGAAGAGTCTGTATGTAATTTTGAAACTACTGGATCCTATTAAGCTCAAGGGTTTGTTTGCATGCTATTAAGACATAAAACAACTTTCATAATTTTTGTTTGCGCTCTTTATCTGTCCTAGTTAATCTTTGTTAATGCTGAAACGATTGTGAGCTAGCTAGGCAATATTTTATCCCGAAAAGTTTTTTTTGCTTCGGGTCGTGGATTTAAGCTTTGAATTGCTTTATATGTTTATACTTCGAGATAATGTTATAATGTTATAATAATGTTAAAGTTAAATTTACAGCCCATATACACCCTACAGCTGGGCACAGGTCTCTTTTCATTTGTGAGATGGCTTTATGTCAACGAAATGCCCGCCAAGCTGCCCCAGAGCGCGCTGACGGCGAACTTCACTGTCACATCTTAACTGTCTGTTCTTCTGTCACATCTTATCTGTCTGTTTCTTATTTCTCAGAGATGCAGTTTTCCTCACGATGTTTTCCTTTACCGCCGAGCACATGGTAAATTAGCATTTAAAATTGCAATTAACAATTTCATTGGTGCCGGTGGGAATCAAACCCGGGTTGCTCGCGTACTGTGAAATTTACAGTGAACGCTTATCCCTTGAGCTACCACGGCTCTCTAGTTATATTATCTCTATTTGGTTTTGACCCGCCATAATCATTTTGACTTTAATAACTGATCATAACCAAATGATGTCGAAATTTTTAATTTTTTTTAATAAATGTTTTCACATTTACTTAACCCGCAGTATTTGTTGTTGCCTTATGTATTAAAATAATTAATATTAATAAGAATAGATTATATTTTATTTAATTTGTTATAACTCGTTTTTTCGCTCTCTAGACATAAATGCGACTTTAAAGGATGTGTGATGTGCCATGGGTGTCATTGCACAATGTTTTCATATAAAATATACATAGCACTTTTTAAATATTTCCTTATACCAACACCGATGATTATTTTTTATCAGTTTGAGCTATTCTTCTAATATGGCTAAGAACTGCCTATAATAATATAGCACATATTACTTACTGCAAAATTCGAACACATATTCAAAAATAAAATAATTTGAACTTGAATTAAATTAGAGTAATAAATTCAAAACTCTAAATTAATAAATTTTACATATTATTAATTATATTAATTTTACCGAATATAACATAACATAACTTTAATCTTTATCAACAATTACTCAAATATTTAAAATTCATATACTCGTAATAAGAAGTTCCACGTCGTCTTTCCTTCTATTTTTTTTTCATTTACTTTAATTCTTCATTAATAATAATCAAAACGAGAAATAATTAATTTGATGACGCTAATGAATTTGATTTATAAATATAGGTTAAAATTACAGCCTGTATACGTCCCACTCCTGGGCACAGGTCCCCGATGATTTTCTGAGAGGGTTTTAGGGCAAGGAGTTGTCCGCCGCGCTGCCCTGAAATATATATTTTTCTTATTTCTCAGACATTCCGGTTTCCTCACGATGTTTTCCTTCACCACCCAGTACGTGGTAAATCAGCACTTAAAATTGCAGTTAACAATTGCATTGGTGCTTGCAGGGATCGAGTCCAGTTTGCTCTCGTACTGTGAAAATTACAACGAGGACTAACCATCTGAGCTGCCACAGCTCATTCATATATTAATATATACATATACACGATATTTACATAAAAATAATTCATCATCACACACGGCTCATAAGTCCAGTGCTAATAACAGTTATCCACCAACAAATACAACAAAGAATGATCGTGAGCCACCTGCATCCATCGACTTCTTGCTTGTATTACCAGGTCCTCACTCCTCACTGCACCTAGTAGTGGGTCGTCCTACACTTCGATTACCGTTACGAGGCTGCCACTCGAGAACCTTTCTTTCCCATGTCTTGTTGGTTCTTCGATCTATTATAATAAACATAATTAGTCAATCGTAAGTAATTTTAATAAATATATAATCAGATTGGAGTTGATTTAGGGATATGTAATTGAATATCAAACATTTTTTAATATTAAAAGGAAAAAAAATACAAAATATACCTTTAAATTGACCATAATTATTTATCATTCTGCTGGAACATTTCAAATCAAAGCACTGCATGTATATGAGTACTCGTATATTCACAGCAAAGCAAATGCCGTAAATCTTCGCTTTGCCGTCAAATACAAATACCTTCCTTATCAAAGCCAGTTATTTATAGTGTGTTTATTCTATAGGTTATCGCAAATATATATACTAAAATTTTAAACCAGAAGGATATTTCACATAAGATAGTAATTTTAAACTGAAAATATTCTTCATAAAAAGAAAAAAAATGCTTGTTGTTCTTGTACTTATCTTCTGAAAATTACTTTAAATTTTTTTCGTGACAAAATTCATGCTTCGCGTACCTGAACATGAATAGAATTCTAATGAAATTTATTTCTGCTTGAACCCCAAAAATCCGAATTAAAAATAGAATTTGTTAACATATTTATGCAACAATAAAAACTATTTATAATATGATTTTGAATATATTATAGCAAAACAAATGTATCAAATCAAACATGATAAAAGATAAATAAAATTTTATTTACATGAATTTTAAGAAAGAAAATAGTTCATTAATACATTTACAATAAATAATCTGCCATATATATATCTATGATCCTATACAATAGCACAATATACACTATTATAATACTGCAAAAGAATAAAAAAGTGAAATAACCTACAAAGTATCTTCTGTTACCTCCTCTACTTCAATAGTCTTTTTCTTTATTGGTGGTTGATCACCACAAATAAATTTTCCTTCCCATGAGTTTTCACCAAATATTTTTAAAGCTGCTATAATTATTTCCTTGCGTGGCTTATGTGGTACTCTGGAGAATACTATCACATCTCCTGTATCACAGTCCCTCATTAATAGTAAATTTTGCACAACGAGCCACTGATCAGGACTTTCGGGTTTAAGAATGTAATTTGAAGTTTTATCTGAAAACGATTATACAAAACACACGTTTAAGTTACTATAGTTTTTGATTTGCATGTCAAATAAAATATATGATGTCCTTTTTACAGAATTTGGGTGACTGCGACCAGTCTTGGAAGTGAGTCAATTGGGGAGGAAGATTATAATTTCCAAGCGTGTGTACAAACACAGATTTCCTCTCATGCATAGTCCAACGGGATGGTAATCCAAAAAGACCGGAGAGAAATCAGGCGTAGAACCAACGACTAAATGGGCGTTTCGAAGTACAAAGATGAAACTGATTCACGATGGACTGTCTCTGGACCGCTTTCGAGAATTTGTTATCAGAAAAACCCTATACTTGATTATTGACCCAACTCGGGATTCGAACCCAAGACCCCACGATTAGCAATCAATTTACAATCACTACCAACAAGGCAATGAAATATAAAACAAAAACCAAATCGTAAGGTCGTGTTGTAGTTTGATCAATAAAATACTTACTATTTTTTTCCGTTGGGATAATATTCTCTAAGACGCCATGTCCCTTTTCGCATCCCTGGAGAAAATGCTTCTTAATTTCCAAGCTTGATTTAATTTCTAAATTACAGTCTTCCCATTCTACAGCATCATCAAAATCGCCATATTTCTGTTTGTAAAATTGCTTCTCCTGTTTTAGTATAAAAGTTATTGCAAATTAAAAAAATGAGTTACACGTTATCTACATGAAATAATTATAATATAAATCACGAATGTTTTTTAGCTTAAAATGTTCCCTTTATCATTTCATAAAAATAATTTCAGTATTTGTATGTTGACATTATTGACAAATGATGGCGTGGTAACTGAATCACGATCTCATTCCGTCCCATTGCTTACGCAAACTATTGTAGATTATAAACGATAATCGTAGATGATAGAAAGGTTTATTGGTTTCTGATAGATGCCGTTACAGCCATATCGTTTACGTCGGGAGTAAACTATGCAGACCGGCAACGGGGAGCAACTTTAAATTTGCGAGACGTCTTGAACTGTGGTTATTTAACCACCTACCAAACGTAACAATTAAGGCAAATCCTCCTAATAAAGGGAGAGACTTATTTCCAGTAGCGGACTTTACTTAGTTGTAAAAAATTTTGTTGTACTTCACGTAGACAATTTCTTACATTTACCTTCATAGTGAGTTTCCTGATAAACATTTTAAAACAAGGCACTTTTTGAGATGCTTGATAATACGCCGTCTGCCACAAATCAACCATTTTGTTTAGATTTATTGGTCCCACGTACTTAAAATATGTACATATCTCCTTTATTTTGTATTTAGTGTCGACAATATCATTAGCTATTGAGACTGACTCCGTTTGAGAAACATTAATAGTCTCCGTTGTAGTAATAGCTTTCATTTCATCGGTATTGGAAAAATCGTCCTCGGTACTTGTTGGGTTTGTTGCTCCAACATCACCATCGAAGTCTATTTTTTCATATATAGCATTTGAATCATTTTGGAGTAGGCTTGAATACAAACTATCATCATCTTGAGTTCGACTCCTTGTAACCACTAAAAATATTGTGCAAAATATACATTTAGAATAACTCCACATCATAAAACGTGTGTGCTCCACTACTGACACCTTGTACTGAATTGGTGACAAACAATCATGCGTTGTTATGATTTTATAATTCTATAGTAAATTGTGAGAGCGAACTTAAACATCCCATTGTTAAAATATTTGTAATCCCAAGCAGTGATATAATACCACAATTATTGTTTGCCATAATCAAGACTTTAAAACATTAAGATGCTTGACAGAAATGATTTAATGTTTATACTATTAAAATGCTGTACATTCGTATTGGGTGTGATGTAAGAGTGTACACATGTGACCTCCTCTGAATGTGAACTTAACCTCATCAACATGTTACTAACTTACAAGTTAGACTTCTAAGTTCGAAAATCACATAAAATACACGAAAAACTATTAGAAGGCGTTTGATCGAAATTTAAGTGGTGCTAAAGTCACTTCAGTGGTAACAAGGTAACTTTCAGTATAATGTCTTCTAGACCGAATTTCAATCACGTGGCCAGTATCAAGACTAGCCACTTGTAAAGGACATGGTTATAGTTAACGAGTGTGTGTGTGCCAGCACAGGTGCATTCTCGTCACCTTCACTCTTTAAGTCACTAAAGATCAAACACCGCTAACATTCTGCCTCCTAGCTTCTAATAAGAATTCCACTGAAAAACACAGTAACCGATTTTAAGTCTGACCTTATAATCGGACAAGAGACCACATGATACATATATTTTATTATGAATACCACGTATAAGAATATTATATTATAATATTCTTATACGTGACAGAGCCATGCTGCAGTTAGTTTCGAATGGATCGGCTCAACCGGGTAATGAGCACGCTCTCACAGAATACCAGTGTAGAGAACCGGAGATCATTTTTGCTGGAAACGAGGCATTTCATTTTAGTCCTCACGGTTGATTCGTAATTGAGGATAGATCTAGATGTTTATGGGCCACAGCAACCACTTACCATCAGGTGGACTGTGTGCTCGCTTGTCACCCTATCCTATAAAAAAACGACCACTAGACCAACAAGGTTAACATTTTATTCAGCTGAATACAGTTGGTATATTGAGGTGCTGATGTGCTTTTATAGTAACGATACGATGTCTTCCTTAGTGCAGAACTAGAAAAAGATACCTAACCAATAGAAAGGTGTAAGACAGGGGTCCTCCCCCCTATATAAATATATATAAGTGGCATTTATAATTATATAAAATTTAGATCTTAGTCAGGACCCTTATTTAAGTTGTATTTGTTTGATAACTTAGTTCCTTTATGTGTTTTTTGGAAGCGTGAGTATCCAGATCAGTCAAAAGCTGTCGGCAATTCCTTTTAGTCAAAAGAATGGCAATTGTCAGCTCTCTGCATTTTTAAAATCATAGCGCATGCATCCGTAGCTAGTGTTCTCAGCCTGCGCGGATTGTAGTAGGAACAACTTTATAATACTCCAAAAAATAACTTTAATTAAAAAATTATTGTTTAGTTCTTTTTATAATTATTAACATAGGAGCAACTGCCATCCTCGTATAATGAATGATGTAACGCGCTAATTGTCTTTCACTTTACTCGACCTTTAAGAGCTATTTACCCTTATTTGCGGCCACTTTTACACAGGTAAATGTATTTCATCGTTTTTAGAATAAAATTAGCTTTAAATTATATACAAATAATGAATATACGTCATGAACGTATAACTCTAACAAAGTATTACCTGTTCACACCTGGCTGCAGAGAGGGTGTGTCCAAGTGTGCTACTACAACCTAACATTTCCAAGTTCTTTACATATATTCGTGTAAAATGGTATATAATTTATTTAAAAAAACAAGTGAATGAATTTTTTTCTAAACCATCAATTAATATTATTTTAATTTAAAACACTTGCGGCCACATTTTGATAGGCACCCCAACAAAAATGTATTTTCTCCCTTATAATTATACGTTGAAATTAGATTTTGAATTAAAACTACATGAACGTAGTAATCTTGCAGGCGGATCTCGTACAAAGCAATCATTACAACACCCTCTATCAATACAAGAACAAGCTACGTTATTACAAGAAGACGCTCAATAATTTTCCAATTATATTATAAATTTTATTTATCTTATTTCGGAGTATTCACAGAGTATTCTCATCTGGCTGGAATAAATAAATATATAAATGGAAATGATAAATTTACATAAATATATATATTTAATACACTAAAAAAATAAGTTTAAATTTTGAAAACGAAACTCTTAGACAGTATTTTTGTATGTATTTTATTAATGGCGGCAAATTGAAAATCGTCTGTGTCACTTCAGTATGAATTTAACACGATAAAATTTTAAACAATGATTTTTTATGACTTTCAATGTCATTTAAGTCAACAAGAAAGTTATGATACTCGTAGACTTTGTTTGGCCTTTAACAATGAAGGCCTATCTCGTGCCACTAATTACAACTGGTTTAATGAGTTTAAACGTGGTTGCACTAATATCACCGATGATCTGCGTGTGGGACGGCCTTCTACGGCCTTCTTCGAAGATTACATCAGTGTTGTGCGGCATATGATAGACACTGACAAAAGAGTGACTTATCAGCAAATTTGGACCAGCTTAGGCATCGGTATGAGTGATCCATGAAAATCCTCCATGAACATTTAGTGATCAGGAAGCCTTGTGCCTGATGGATACCTCATAACTTGACAAAAGCTCAAAAACTCCGTCGTGTTGATTGGTGTCGTGAAATGGTTCAAAGATTTAACAGAGGTGACTCAAATGCTGTGTTCGACTTACTTTCGGGTGACGAAAGCTGGATTTATTGTTATGATCCTGAAACTAAAGACAGTCTGCTGACTGAGTGTTTCATTCCGAGGAGTTGCTAACTAAAGTGAAGAGAGATCTAGGCGTGGGACAAAAGTTCTTCGGAAGGACAGGTCATTACGCAGCAATTATTTTAGAGGATCGAAAAACAGCTACTGCGGAGTGGTACACTAACAATTATTTGGCACTTGTGTTGGAAAATGTTTGGGAGAAACGACCTCGCAGTAGGATCCTCCTTCACCACGACAACGCCTCCTCGCACACCGCCAAGCAAACAATTGACTACTTGGCGGCGTCTGACGTCGAATTGCTGGGTCACCTGTAATATAGCCTCAACATCGCAACAAATAAAAGAAAAAAGTCGAGGAGAACGTTTTATGGACGCCGAGGAAGCAGTGGCTGCGTTAAAAAATGCCGTCGAAGAGACTCCTAAGGACGAGTGGGCAAAGTGCTTTTCTCAGTGGTTCCATCGGATACAGCGATGTATTGATGTAAATCGACACTATTTATGGCTTATTTTTATTAGCACATTTTATACATTATTTGCTTCCTTATTAATATTAGTAAGATTTTTTTGATTATTTAACTATTTATTTTATAAAGTTTATTAATATAAATTTATATTTATTTCTTATATTAATAAGTTTAGCTTTTTTAGTAAAAATACCTGTTTATTTTGTACATTTATTATCACCTAAGGCTCATGTTGGAGCCCCAGTATCTAGTTCAATAATTTTGGCCATAAAGAGGCAGCTAAAGTCATGGAGAAACTCGCAAAAGTTAAACCTGTTGTAATCAACTTGACAATTCTTCAAGTGATTCAGAGAATTCAACGCAGACAAACCGCCATTGAAAAAATCAAAAAAGAAGAATGTGTCACGGAGATGGATTAGATTTAGTTTGTGAGCAGCCCAAGTTTCCCAAAAGAGATATTAGTTCAGTTCGAGGAAAGTCACGAGTTTGGAAATCCTGGACTTATTTTTGGAATAAAGACTTTACAACCTTTTAGTAGATCAATCGTAAAAATATGCAGCCTTTTTGAATGACTCGGTGAAAGTAAAAAGTTCTACTGTCTACTTTTATCACAATTCTGATACTAGCGGGATATAGTACCGTTCTCTCTAAGAGAAATTATTGTGACCAAGATAAAGATATGAAAAATTGTATTGTTTATAATAATAATACGTTGGACTCTGTGCATCTTGCAATCACTAGTTTCACGGTCGTATGTAAACTACAAAACTTTTGATACTAATATTACATTATTTAATAAAGTAAATACTCCATTTTATTTATTTACTCCTACATCTCATTAAATACACATAATTTTATCAATAGACGGCAAACTTTCTTGGCTGATAATAAGTTAATACATACCTAATAGAAGAATGCAAGGCCTACGAATGAGCCTAGCAGTGCTGTGCGGCACCCAGTGTTTAAAAAAAGATAAATCACTTAAGCTTTTAATGATCATAAATAAATTAAAGAACCTTTAATAACAACATATCAAAAAATTTACCAATTCCAAGCCTAAAAACAGGTCACAGTAATTAACAAATCAGTAAATATCTAGATATTTAGATTTTTATATCAATTGAAACTAACAATTAGAAGACATTTTAAGTCACAGAACCGGAAAGCATATAGCATTAAAGTCAATGTACGGTAATACATCACTCACCTTTGATTTGCCAGCATTATATTATGACCACAGAACATATATACCCCTAAAGGGGATTATGACGGAATCTTTAGAGGACCTAAGTACCATGTTCAAATGCCTCAACAATGTTAAAGGTAGTTGTATATATGAAAAAAAAATATATATATATAAATGTTTTGTCTATATATACATATATAAACATTTCGAAATCAACAATTTTTTTTTCATTTTTTTTTTGCTTTTTATTTTCAAACATACGCGGTAATTCATAAATTAAATAGCATGCGGAAAAATAAAAATACTTTGCTGAACACAACCTATGATATTAAATGTCAGGACAACGTCTGCCTGATTTAGC